CATTGTCCAATTGAGGTACATCCTTGACTTTAGCACTAAGCTTTGCATTCTTCCAGGGGGAACTTGAGTAGCGCTGGTGCGTACTGAGTGGGGGTAATTGGTGGCGGCGAGAGAGTTAAGCTTCCAGTTCTCTGGCGCCTTTGGAATTGTTCTTCTAGAAGGTGTTCAGGGATGTATAACGTGGTGATACTGAGGATGATGTCGAGTCGGAATTAAGTCGTCGAATCGATTATCGTCAGCCAAAAACAAATAAACAAAGTGGGATATTATAACAGGCCTTCCCAGGCGAAGAGGTGACTTTGTTGTAATGTAACCGTGTGGAGTGAACCACTGCTTGCTGTGATGAATACGGAGTCAAACGGAAACTGCTGTATTGAGCGAACAACAAAGTGAGGAAGGAAGAGAGTTCCAGAGGAACGAGAGCTTAAATACAGGATGCCAGCAGCGCGCACGTGACACATACTACATGCTGCGCTACACGTGATCAACCCCTAGTTCCTCCAACTCCGTAACAAGACTTTAATTAAAAGATACTTAATAATACCTTAATTTAAATATATATAATAAAGTCCTAATTAAAAGATATATAATAAGATCTTAATTAAATAATACTTAATAAGACCTTAATTAAAAGATACGAAATAAGCCCTTAATTAAAAAAAATATATAATAAGGTCTTAATTAAAAGATATATAATAAGGTCTTAAATAAAAGATACTTAATAAGATCTTAGTTAAGAAATACTTTATAAGACCTTACCTAATTAAAAGATATATAATAAGGTTTTAATTAAAAGATACTTAATAAGATCTTAGTTAAAAGATACTTAATCATACCTTTATTAAAGAATACTTAATAAGGTCTTAATTAAAAGATACTTAATAAGGTCCTAATTAAAAACCACTTAATAAGGTAGAGACAGGCGGTAATACGAGCTTGCGAGCATCGACTAACTCGTGCTTGTTCCCTACGTACTTATCTTTATTATTAAAAATATCTTAATACGCTACGGTCGCATTTAGCTTGTTAGCTATTATGTTATAGAGCTAACTAAGGGCTTTATTTTAGGCCTCTATAGAGGTTTGTAGCTTAAAAACTAACTACTATTAATATTCACAAGCTAGCCCGGTTGATTCACTTGCTTACCAGGTTCACTTGCTTCCGCTGACCTCAAGCGATAGCGCAGATGGGAAGACGCACTGACTATTACAAGCGACCGCGCCGTAGGAAGAGCACTGACTATTAATTCGTGGTATTTGCGAAAAGGAATATTTTCCCCTTATTCCGCCTAAGAAGCACGGGCAGAAGAAAAAAACATGTAGAACCCATGCTTGATTAATTCGCGACTGGCTGTAATGAAAAGATTTCGAAGATTTTGAAAGTATGTTTTGTTTTCTCTAAACTTTGGGTATCAAAATTAAAACCATCAACGCAAATATGTTTTCTCCTGCAGGCCACAAATCCTTCGCGTGCACTCAGTAATCAAATTCTTGCAATGCTTTCAATGGCTATATTGTAAATAAGTAGCCAGCTCTCCATTACAATGACGAATCAACCGCCGGGCCAATAAGGCAATTAAGATAAATTAAAATCAGCATTCTCAAACCAATATTCCCATTATTCCTCACAATATCCAGTGAAACCCCTTTTCTTGATGATACAATCCTCCTACAGAAGCATAGCGGCCAGTAAACCGAAAAGTCCTCCTGCTGCGGCGTTTACTGCACTGGATCCCAGAGGAGCCGCAGCACCCGTGAAGATAGCTGATGGTGGTCCAACCCCAGTTCCAGTTGCCAATACCCTCGAGACAGTGCGAGAAGTTGTCCTCTCGATGGCAGGAGTTGCAATGACGAGAGGAGGAGTAATCTTGGCTGGAGGAGCTACCGGTGGTGGAACTACAGGAGCTGGTGGTAGTGTTGGAGGTGGTAGTGTTGGAGGAGTTTGAACGGGTGGAGGAATTGGGGCTGTCATCATCATGGTATGCGTGACGGTGATGGTAAAGTTGGTGCAGACTGTGCAGATCGTGCAGATGGTATTTACAAGAGCAGGTGGTGGAAGTGGAATGACGACAGGAGGACTGACTGGGGCGAAGGTTGGCGCTGGAGGAGAAACCTCCTTCATTGGAGGTGGGATCTCCTTCTTTGGAGGGCTCTCTTTCATTGGGGGAGGACTCTCCTTCATTGGTGGCGGAGGTGTCTCCTTCATAGGTGGTGGAGGGGACTTGTCCTTTGGCGGCTTGTTATCATCGTTAGGGTTATCCTTTGGAGGGCTCTCTTTCATTGGTGGAGGCATCTCCTTCATTGGTGGCGGAGGTGTCTCCTTCATAGGTGGTGGAGGGGACTTGTCCTTTGGCGGCTTGTTATCATCGTTAGGATTATCCTTTGGAGGGTTCTCTTTCATTGGTGGAGGTGTCTCCTTCATAGGTGGTGGAGACTTGTCCTTTGGCGGCTTGTTATCATCGTTAGGATTATCCTTTGGAGGGCTCTCTTTCATTGGCGGAGGTGTCTCCTTCATAGGTGGTGGAGACTTATCCTTTGGCGGCTTGTTATCATCGTTAGGGTTGTCCTTTGGAGGCTTGTTGTCGTCGAATCCCTTATGTGGGTTGTTGTCTTTTGGAGGCTCCTTGTCGTCGAATCCCTTATGTGGGTTGTTGTCTTTTGGAGGCTCCTTATCGTCAAACCCCTTATGTGGGTTGTTGTCCTTCATAGGGGGACCCTATGTTTCATTAGCGCCATGTTCCAAGCAAACACAACATGAAAATTACCTCATTTTTGGGGGGTTGCCCTTTGTTATCACCCGAATCCTTGGGATTGCCTGAAGGGAAACCGGGAACTCCATTAGGAGGGCCAGCGCCAGGAGCACCAGGAAATCCACCACCAGGACTACCACCAGGAGCACCAAACCCGCCGTTATCAAAAGTATTGGCCGAGACGTTTTCGGTATTCGAAATGTTATCGTGGGCAACGGCCAAGCTCGAAATGCTTAGTAACAGGGCTGACAGCGTATAGTACCGCATTTTCGGTAGTATTATCCAAGTTGTGAGATGGTGAAAGTGATATGCTGAGGACAAGTCTAATGGAAAGAAATTGAAGAGAAGAGATAGAATGTAATGCTGGCCTGCAACGAATGAATACCAGTAAACAATAATAGTCCAAAAGAGAGAGTGTGTGGTAAGAAGAAGGCCGAACGATCTACGAAAAGGAGGTTGCGCGGACACATCAGTACATATATTGATTGAGCCGCCCTATGTAAATGCCAAGATTGGTATAATTGGACTTTAGGGATGGAAACTTCGCATCTATCACGAAGTATCCACAAAAGCATGATGGCTTGGACGAAACAGCGTGGTTCCGAACCACGCTGCTTGAGCCTGCTTCCAGGAAATAAAAGTGGGTAGAACAGTCTCGGAACGTTCATCTTCCTGCTCATGAACCTCTTCAGGGCAGGCTAAAAATAAAGTGTGAGCTAGACCGCAGCTTCTTAGAATCACTAGCAAATGAAAAGCTCTGGATTGAGTCTGGAAGCTCCTTTTCGCTGTTGTTGTCGCTTCCCACGAACCAAGGGGCGGTGCTCAAACCCTTTTTGGCTTCTGGGGCCACCCCGAGGTCATTCCCGTCAAAATAGAGGGGCAAGATCGTCTGAAGTCTACATGGGATGAATGCAGAGAATATTAAAATACGCAGCGAACCGTCGAGTAAAGACTGTAAAGTCGGTCAAGTGAAAGGCTGAACAGTTCGTGATCGCCGGCTTCAAACACCGGGAGCCTCAGTCTGAAACGGACCCCACTTGAAAGCAAATGCAGGGAGAAAATTAGAGGTATATAAGCTAGTCAAATGCCAAGCTTTTGGCTTCGCCGCCCATCGACAATTCATCAAGACTGTTGCAAAAAATACATATTTGTAGTTTCGAGACATCGATGCGTTGGAGTTCTACGTTAAGTACTGTATTTCTATGGAGGTATGGGAATGAAGAAGTCCGAATGAGCTCCGAATTGACTCCGAGACCACTACTGTACTTCTACTTCTACCAAAGATCCGAAGTAGCTTCCAATTCGCCATGTCCTCCTGGACGGGACGGAGCACTGAAAGTTTATTTTCTAATTTAACGAAAACACCAGGGATCAAGTTTTATCCGTGTTTTTGGCTGAGGTTTTTTTTGACATCATCTCATCATTTTTAACATATATTTGCCCAGTCGGGTCAACCGGGCAGGACGGAAACCCCTTTGTATGGTTTGCTACAGAGACCTTTTAAGCATGGCCTTCAGTACTGAAGACCAGATTATCAGTACTCCCACCGTTGCTGCATTATTGACAGTTCCAGCAAGGACGTTTCCTCTACGACCAATCAAACAAAACACGTTTTTTCGAAATTGAAACCCAACACACAGCGAATAGTGACAGGTAAATTATGGATCCTGCATTCTTATTGCTAACTATGTTTGTGTAGACAAAGGAGAGAGGGCTAGTCTGTCAACCACAGTCTGAGCAGACAAAATTGCTCAACGCCAATTTGATTCAATTTGATTCAGTTGCCAACTGAAGTCAGAACTTCGAACCTTGAGCGATGATGCTTTAATATGTTCTTTCAGTAAACTTAATCATCGGTCCCTCTTTCAAAGCAATGAACTGATCTTGGATATCCCAAATATCCTCGCCCCCAAACTTGCCCTCTCCCAACTCACCACCCGATTCGAAATCGAAAAGAAACAAAACTCTTGCAAGTGCCAGAGTAAGTTCCATATACGCCATGTTCTTGCCAATGCACGATCGAGGCCCAATGCTAAAAGCGCAGAAAGCTGACTGGGCCTTCTCTACTTCAGCTCGGCTCACGCCTCTCTTCTTCCTCTCGTTCGTGTCGTCTTTCATAATCCATCGTTCTGGCTTGTAGCGAAAAGGTTCGGAATAGTATTGAGGATTGTGCATGATCGCAAAATGTGCAACACTCACATCGACGCCAGCGGGTATATGATGTCCATCGATCATAGTTCCCCCTCTCAAGACTTCTCGGGGTATTGCTCCTGGGACTGGCGGTGTAATACGAAGAGTTTCTTCGATACAAGCTCTGAGATATACGCAGTTGTTCAACTTTGGCCCCACTCTGATATCCTCAACACTCTCAAACTCGTTTCGTACTTCCTCTCGCACAATCGCACGCACGTCGGGGTTACGAGCAAGGTAAAAGAAAGTTCCCGCCAATGTTGTGGAGGCTGTATCAGAACCAGCAATAATAAAAGTAATTCCCTCCTGTGTCAACGAAGGTAATGTGAGTATCTCGCCCGTCTCTGAATCTTTTGCATCCAGAAGGTAGTGGAAGAAATCCTTTCGGTCGCTTAACACACCAGCTTTGCTTCTCTCTGCCGCTTGCTCCATAGTGTATTGTGCCAATTCCTCCTTCCTTTGACCATGGTTGCCCCTGCGAAGTAACAGGTTGGAGAACCAAGTGTTGTGTAGAGATACCATACTTCCACTACAATTCGAAGCTAGAGTAGAACTCTCTATTAACCCCACGATTCTTCGATTTTCTCCACCAATCATGTTGAAAGATTTTCCAAAAGCTAGTGCGCCCATTACATCGAACGAAAGGTATATGGACATGTCGGCCTAAACGGATGTCAACCGACGAATTGTTTCGACACAAATAGAGTACCCCAGAGCTATGGGCTCAGCTTACCATATTTAACGTCTCTTTTGCTCCTTTCTCCTTTAGCAGAGAGCACCATTTCTGGATATTCTCCAGGAATGAATCTTCAAAAGACCTGAGGGCACGTTCAGAAAAGGCGGGTGAGATGAGACGGCGCTTTGTTGCATGCGCCTTCTTTTCAATCCCATTGAAGACATTTGGTGGTCCCTGGACAAAAGCATTGTAAAATTTTGCTTTTTGGACATTGGCTTTAGGGCCGTAGATATCCGCTAGAGCGGTTGACGTGTTGAAGGAGAGGAGGTTTGGACCATATCGATAGATTGGCCCTAATAATTTCGAATCAGCTCAGCAGTCACGAAATTTGGGGGGAAACAGAGTCTGCTCACCATACTTCTCGTGGCATTTCAGGAAGTTTGTGTACCGTTTGCCTTTCCATGCCCACCATATATTATCGATACCGGATATCTTTGCTAGAAAGGGACCAGGATACTTGGCGAGAGGATGGAAGGTCAATCGGTAGATAGCGATTGCGACACCCTAAGAAATCAAATTAGATCCACTCATCCAATCCCTCGCATGTCCTTACATAAAACAATACAGCAATACACCCCAACACGAATGCCCGGACGAAGTCGGCTGGGTTAGAAAACATATTTCTTATCTGAAAAGGATCGAGAATGGAGAAACGCCGAAAGATAAACGGTGCCCTGGGAGGGACTGGATGATTGCTAAATCCTGAGTGAGCTCTGGGGGCCAGTTTTGGTTTAAATAATATGTTGTGTATCCCCATTTGGGTATCCGTTGTCTCGGCTTCTCTTCAGCACTCCCCTATATGGCATGGTACTCTAGTAGAGTCAGGCAAGCCCATTTCAAATACCCTCTCCAATATGGTCGTGACGGTCAGTCACATGAACCTGAATTGCCCCCGAAATGCGTCTCTGAACACCTTGCACTGAGGTGCCAGGACATGAACATTATCACATTGACATGTTCATACTGATATTTTTTAAGACAATTGAAGACCAGCCTCGACAGAGGAGGGGCCAACTTCTTAAATTGACGATGAGGTTAGAGTATACATGGTAAAAGCTGGACAGTACAATCATGATTCATGTATCTGAATAGCTATCTACCTTCGCCTGTCGTGGACCAAAGTTCTTTCCATGGTAGAAAGCCACACACGAAAGAATGGTAGCTAAACCACTGAAATTGAACTCCGGGGTGCAAGGAGTACGCAACAAAAGTTGAACAGATTTGATGTAGACTAGAGATACAACGCTTCGTGGATTTCGGAGAACTCGGTGGGGAATGAAGTGAATAAGAAGGCGAATCACCCCAGACGAATCACTTATGTGAGACTGAAGACCAATTGGGAATTGACGATTCATCAAGTCCATCCAGTCGAGCGGTTTTGTGCATACAATTTTGGTTTTGTATGATCTGGTGGATGACTGCAAATCGGGGGTCCGATGGAAGTCCGTGAAAGGTACCGTATAAACGACGGTTCAGGTTGCCCCCATATCGTCTTGAAGTATACACTGACCCAACCAATTGGCATAGGCTGCGAGCATTTTTGATGGGGGCATTCACCCTTCATATTACCTTGTAACCACATATGAGGGTACAAGTAACCCAACTCGGGAAAGGATTTCTGGGCACTTGAGCTTCCCCGACGCGTTTCCTCAAACCCGTTCCCGTTATTTTACCTGAAAGTTAACCTTTTCCTGCTGGAATTCTTATTTTATCTCTTGCATCCACCATAAGCATCCAGCCTCCTGGAGACTCGAGAGCTAGCGCATGAACTCGATATCTAGAAGAGAAAAGTCAGGTCGCACAAATATAACCTTCGGGCTGGGTAAACCGCATTCCCAAGTAATTCAAATTTTCGTCGGCAGACTTGCTGAATGAGTATTTGTAGCCTTCTCCAGAGTTAGCAGTGGAATGTGAGTTGAACCTCTTGGGAGAGAGTGTGCCTACCTGTATCTGAGCCCGTTGTCACAAACCCTTGGGCTACGCAAAAGCTTTCGAAATAATCGAACCGAAGACTCAGCAATTGCTATATTTGAGTAATCATTTGGTGTGAGTTACACAAATATAACAAGTGGTGGTGGATCTATACTGTCAGATTTCATGTACACAAGGTGCGCATCTCCATTAACATATTTGACCAACCCCAATAAAATTTCATTTGAGTACTTGGCCTAGGTAATTACTTTACAACAGCATGCTCTGCTTTCATCCCCTTCTACTATTTACATTGATTCCTCTTTACTCTCTCTGCGCCGCAATGTTCTATTATTATAACATTCTACGTGCAGTCTTCCTTCTCATTCGTTTATTGGACAAGCCCAATAACGTTGTCGCGTCCAGGGTCAGACTGGGTGTTTCGTGCGTTGAACTTAAGTACCTTTTTGACTTCATTGAAAGTTGGCACATCGATGGTAATGGCCTCGGTGCTGACAATCCATTCAATGCCCTCAGTGCAAGGAGGGGTCGTGAGAGATCCAGAGTAACTATGATATGATTAGTCTGTATCCAATACTTCTTTACACAGATTTACTCACCGGAAAACGTTGTTCTTGGCAAAGTTTGTGGTAATGGTACTGAGGTCAAGCGAGGCGAGTGTTGACTTGGCATCTGTCTCTGCAACTTGCTTGATTTTGCCCAAAACGGCACCGAGAAGAGGGTGGTTCGTACGACCAACTTGAATCGCATATCCGACAACAGCCAGAGCGCCATCTTATGTCCGTTAGTTTATATCCCTCGAAGATTTTTAAGTTATGCTTACCTGCAGATCTGTGGACAAAGTGCACCTCCATAGGAAAGTACTCTCCATTAATTCTATGCTCAGATGGAACATGGAAATGGAATTGGAGCAAGTTGTACGTCTTGTTGGCGAAAGTAAGAGTATTCGTCGAATCAGTCACACCGTCAACTTGAACTTGAGCAGTGTGGTGGGTGTTCAAGTATGGGACGTTCTTGATCTTGCAATACTTCAAGACGTAATCGCTGGAGGACTGTGTTCTCGTTGAATTTCCAGTGATATCGATTGGAGTTTGATTTTTGCCTTGTCCGCAGGCTTTGTTGGCGACGCGGTCCATGGCGTACCACAACAATGGCCCATTTTCAGGTCCGTATCCCCATTCGGCCACTCCATCAGCTCTTTTTTGGAGGTCAGGATCAGTACAACCGTGAGCAGTGGCTGCCAGAATTGAGGCAATGATTGGCAGAGAGAACAACATATCGACTGAATTAGGTTGGTGTATTATTATTACTTTGAATTGATGAGGAGAGGGAGAGAAGAAGAAGCGGATGAACAATTGATGAAGCTGTAGATGCTCTTCGAAGGTAGGGTTCATGTTCCCCTTTATAGAAGGTGGCCATATTCCCAGCTTTCGGGGGGAAATTGGTCCCAAGACAGTGGTACCCAAAGGAGGAACAAAACTCTTCACGATTCACGAAGATCCCAAAAGCACACTTCAACTCAGCACTCCTGTCTTAGATCTCAATTGGCATTGCGGTATGTGCCCACCTAGTTGTGATCATCAAGACACACGATGAGTACCTTCCAATCTGATCGATATCATCAACCAGCACAGCCCCTGACCGCCCAGTCTCCATGAAGGATACTCTTCATACTTCGTAGAAGTATCAGCGCGGTCGCTGGATCCTTCTACGGAGTACCTCCAAACACCGTCTAGAAAATATAAATTCACATCCATTTTTTTGATCCTCGACTGACTCGTATGTCACAAGATATGGCGAAGATAATGTGTTAGAGCGTGTTTTCTGATGGGACATTAAGCTACAATACCATACGCATGATGCGAGTGGCATACCGGTATTACTTGTTTGTGGGTTATCCAAGACAGCGTCCACGTAAAGAGCCAAGTGCCTAGTAAACCTTAATCCTAGGATAAAGAGGAGTATTCCTACTGCCAAAAGATATGACGGAAGGATGTTTTACTTAGGATTAATAGATCGACCTTAATACCTTGCCTACAAGTCCTAATCCTAGTTTCTCACAGCGTTCGTGTGTCTATCGAGGCTCTACGAAGTAAACTTCAATGTTGTCGTTATAAGCGAGATTCTGCAGTTGCAGGGATTAATTAATCATCTTCTGTCCAATTCGCTACCTTATAGCCCTGCGCAATTAATTATGGCTACAGGCCCTATTTGAGCTTTACGGAATAGCTTACCCCAAAGATATAGAGTGTGTGCCTTGAAGTAAAAAGATTTCTGGATTATGATTCTGGCTGGTGGAGCACAAGAACCACTTTTGCCCCACGATACTAATGGTCTGTGCTGTGAAGTTTCCAAACAGTTCTCCCCACCAGGTATTCAGGCTCAATCTCGTCGATTCGCCGGAATGCACGCTCTCTTGTTCTGACCGCCAAGGACACATCGTGTTAACAACTCCACGGATACGGTAAAATTGCCAAGTTGATTCAGCATCATCTCGATGAACTTCATGAATGATCCCAACTTCAGGCACACGTCCCCTCTCCAAATTCTGGTAAACTTACGTTTACGGAGGTACTGGTGATCCAACCTCTTACTTTCCCGATACGTCGGGATTTACGTGGGAATACTTAAGCCAAGTACGCACCCTGCTGAACTCCTCCAATACAACTTCGTCCTCGCAGGTTTCTTAGGCTCGCCAAGGAGGAAATAAGCATTCCCACAAGCTTTTCTCATTTCTCTGAAGCTTGGGTAATCGGCATCGTTCAAACTCTGGAGGAGCAGAACTCTCTGTATAAACATAGAACAAGTAGGGAAGTTTCCACGCAGGAGCGGGATCTTTAGGTTTGTTTAAGCTTATTGGATGGCTTTTAAAATCGAGAAATTCGATGAGACGTCATATCACTTATGTAAATGGTCAAAGAATATTGTGAGTTAGTATACATCAGTTCTTCTCAACGGGACAACCCGCGATTGTGTATTTCTTTCTTCTGAGACAAATTCGGATGAGTCAAATCCGGATGGGACAAATAGAGTTCAAATAAGAAAACGACGATTTGCCGTATACTACCGTTCTTGCGGTCTGTGAGTATGGGGTACATTGGTATGGGGCAAGAGCGGCAAAATCCCATTTCCATCATCTGGGCCTTCGTTTCACCTCGGCAATTCTCCAATGCTCAATATTTCATTAATTTTATACTTGGCTTCTGCTTGGTGAATTGAAAAGCCTCTTGGTGGATGGAGAAGACTCTTGGTGGATTGAGAAGGCTCTTGGTGAATTGAAAAGACTCTTGGTGGATTGAAAAGACACTTGGTCTTGCTTGCGTCATGGAAGCAAACAATATAATTCACTTACTTCTGGATTCTTTCTTGGGCGGTGGCTGAGCACTTTCAGACCCACGCCATGCTAATAGTACTCGTCAGTTGATCACATTGCCCCGTGACTTTCGTTCTGCTTACGAGGGCTGGTCTGCTCGACTGTTTAGTCCAGAAGACAAATTTTGAATGTAAGAGATTAGAGGTGGTGAATTCTACTCACCGGTTGCGGAGGTGACAAATGCTAGATATGTACACACTCAATTCATCGAAATCCTATTTTGTTTGCATATACCACAAATCGCATGCTTTCTTGGGTCACTATAAGCCAGGTAACATCTCTTGATATTCCACTACTTTCTGGAAAGATTTGTTATACATGCGTGTTGCTAGGTTTTCACTTGTAGCACCAGTTTGGTGGTTATAAGTGCTTCAGCGTAGCTACTGTAATGAAATGCCGTATGTGACCGCAACTTGAGAAACAAAAAGATTGAGCACTTATATCCCCGGCTAGCATATATTAACCATTAAAAATAGTAGGCAGCATGGATGGCTCACAGAGAGGACTATAGGATCATTAACATATATTTCATTGTGCGAGCCAAATAAATCATCAAGTTTAGATTGATATTGATTTTCATATACACACTCGTTTCTTTCTATAGTACTACCCTAAATTTCCGTGAGCCATATGAGCCTGAAGTGATCTTGAACAGTTTTAAAGCCTCGTCCGTACTTCAGGAACCTGCGGACACCCTACTACATAATGTACGTATAGTACAGTGATGTGGGGAAGATCGTAGTGGAGTTGCGAAACAACAAAGGAGAGTACGATAAGTACCGCGAATTCCTTGAAGTAGAAGTAGCAAGAATGAAGAGTTTCTAGAACCATTGTACTTCGTAATCACCTCTACCTGGTATCGTGAGGCAGTTTATCCTTCCATATGATAAAGGGGCCAGAAAAAACGTGCACCTAAAGCGAAGACCAGTGGATAGGATAACTGGGTCAAATTAAGGCTCAAATGCTTGGAAACGCGGCCCGGTTGGCTGAACGACTTGTTTTTACTGTCCTTCCCGCCCCCTCTTAACAACAGATTATTTTGTGAAAGTGGATACACGTTGTAATTTGTGGGGGAGGCAGTGTAAATGCTAATTTCACTAATAAAACTAAACGCAATCGAGTTTATTATAGTAGGCCAACCAGATAATATAATTGGCTCAATTTTGATGGGTTAGAATAGACCTTACTAGGGATAACGGAATAGCTCCACTTTGCAGGAATTAACCTTCGGTTTAAGGGGCGGGGGATAGTACTCTATGGAGAAAATTAGGTCAAAGTAGCTACATTTACCCAATCTGGTTTCCTAGAGTCGTCGAAGAGAAACATTACTCGGACCTCGTTTTCTCCAGAGAGACTTTACCCCACTTGGGAATACACGTTTCTTCAGCCCCTTTGTTATCCCTTCCAAAGGGGCTGAAAAAGCGAAAAAACGTGCCCTCCTAAGTGGAGTAAATGTTTCCACTTTAGTAGCATTTTCTCCGTAAAACAAAACTGTTTGGCTAACTAGGCTACCCTTGCAAGTATTTGAGCCTCATTTTGACCCGCTATCGTATCCACATATATCCATTTAGGAGTACACGTTTTTTCCGCTACTTTGGCGTCTGGAAGGGATAAAGGAGGATATACTTCGTCTTTAAAATTAAGTTAAAATTTATTGTTTTAATTTTATAATAGTAATCTACATTCTACAGGTCTAATATAGCTAGAACTAGGTTTATTATATTCTATTTCTACTTTTTAGAAAATCCATATTATATATTAGAGTTCTATAAACGCCTATAGTAATCTATAAATACCTATAAGAGTTATTTAATTAAGTATAAGTTATAGTATAATTATTAAATTGCTTATTTATTAGTAACCTGTCACGAATCACGTGGTAGCAGGTGACGAGTGAAGACCGGGCAGCGCCCTGACAGGTTAAGCACTATCATGTAACTCTTATAGCAAATAGGGATGCTTAGGCTAGCTAAGCGATCCACGGATTTCTTTCGGTTAGAATATCACGTGACGAAAACGAGCGACATGGCCGACGAGTCGACCATGGCGACCACTGAGAACGAAGGTTCTATATAAGACTGGCACGTCTGCCATTAGATAGGGGCTTCGTGCTCAACTTAGTTATCAATCTTATCATATTAGTTTGACATCTTTGATACAAGTAACGAGTTCACTTCCAAGTGAACAACCCGATAGCCTTCTTCTTATCATAGCATACCAACCAGCGAACACCCAGCCAAGTTTAGTTAGCCAGTTTGAGGATTCGTTACATAACCCTCTTTTTTCTTTTACGTGTATTACTTACTAGAACCCTAACTTTATTATATCTTTCATAAGTAAAAGGTTTAATTAGGTTCTATACTATAATATTAGTTAAGAACTACTAAATAAGAAATACTTAGCGTAGGCTATTCTTAATTAGCTTACTATATTAAAAAATACCCGTATAAGATTACTTAATACTTAGACTTAAGAAAGTTCTAGTAACTAAACTAATTAATAGAAAATAAAACTAAGAACTAATATATTAACTTATACCTATTTTATTACCTTTATATTCTATTATTTTATAGCTTAACCTCGTTTATAGATTTATAGCTATAGAAGTTATCTATATAATTAACAATTATTTATGATAAAAAATTTAGAATATTTTAAGAATTAGAAATTAAAGTATATTAAATATAGTTTTTGTTACGGAGTTGGAGGAACTAGGGGTTGATCACGTGTAGCGCAGCATGTAGTATGTGTCACGTGCGCGCTGCTGGCATCCTGTATTTAAGCTCTCGTTCCTCTGGAACTCTCTTCCTTCCTCACTTTGTTGTTCGCTCAATACAGCAGTTTCCGTTTGACTCCGTATTCATCACAGCAAGCAGTGGTTCACTCCACACGGTTACATTACAA